TTCGCTCCCGCGATGTGTCCCCTGCAGCGTCCCTGGCTATCTCCTCCGGCCGATGCCAGCATCCGGCTTCCGTGTTCCGGTCCCTGTGACGTCGGGACGTACGGGCGCCGGAACCGGCGGCAAATTTGAAAATTTTAAAAAATGACATTTTTTTAAAAACGATTATTACATAGTAAAACATTGCTGTTTCAAAGCATTTCACATACATTTTGTTCCTACTGCTTTGTCCTGTGCCCTGCCTGCATTTTGACTGTTCTTTCTGCCTGGAAACTTAGAAAAGTCCATGGCGTCCAAAAAGCGTCCCTTTAGGTCAAAATCAGTTTTACACCGGCTAGAGAACAGCGATAGTAAATCAGAACCACTTGCAGAATTGAGTGATAATGATTCGTGGGGAAATTCGTCATCAGACACTGAAAATGATTTTGCGACTTTGCTCAGCGATGTGCGAACTTGGCGCTATTTTTCTTTTGGTTTGATTATATTATTGAATTAAATTTATTATTATTATATTGTTATTTTTTATGATTATTTCTTAAATTATAATTTATGATTTCGTGTTTCAAGTTTTATCATATCCGGAATGTTTAATAGACTCTTGTTCGGACAGATTTCAGTGAGTTATTCCTAAATTACAGCCTACAATAAAAAAACGACATATTTCCATGCACAAAAATGGTACCACCGCTTTCAGCACTTTTTAATATTAATTAATTTTATTTATTATAATATTATTTATATATTAATTATATTATTTAATTTATAACAAAAATCTGAAATAATCAAACCGCTAGGGAGGTTAAAAAAACAGAATATTTTGATCATGAAGATGCTTGTATAAACCATCACACATCTTAGCTTTAAACGTTAAAATATGTGTAGATGCTAAACACAGCTATGCTAGCAGCACAAGAGATAAAATGTTAAGCTGTCATGTAACTGCAGCATGTAAACATTGCTGAACAGACTTTAGTAACACGTCACTCTAAATAGTCATTTAATTCTGTTTAGGGAGGAAACATGCATGAACTGGATTATCAATAAACTAATAAATAATCAAAAATCATAATAACATTTCTAAAAGGAAAATGTAGTAAATGCATTACCAACTGTTTTGATTCTTATTTATAAACCCCAAGTTTAGTTCAAATCACGGGCCTCCCGTCCCTAAACAACCTATCTTTACAAAATGTAACATATAGATATTCTAAAGAGACACTGGGCTCCATTCACTAAAGCATTTTGCATGAGATATAGCTGTAAAGTTAAAATATTTTTAAATGACATCTGAAATTTTATGAGCCTATATGAGATGCTGATGACTGGTGTTACATGTATTTATGAAGAATGATGATCTTAATTATCTAGACTATTTTGTATATTTTACATTTTATTGGTTTAAGTCTTCTCTCTTCAATAAATACTTAGAATATGTACAGCTGTAATTGCAGATTAGACAAGCATTCATGACAAGCTGTGTTTTTCAGTCTCCAGCGCCTTTTCCTTTTGTTGTTTTATTATAATCTGCTACTATGGCATGTTTAAATATTTTTCATGTGCAGTTTGACACATAGTTGTTAGAACCTTTTGTTATCTTCAATCTACATGTGTTGTGTTACTCTGTAAACCCTATGGTGTCCGTTTGTGAACCAGCAGTAATATATCGCTGCTCAGTTCTCCGGCATTCTCGGAGAACACAGTTCTCCTGTGAATGCAGTTTATGAAGCAGTTCTCCAAACGAAGGGAGAACGGTCTCCAAACGCTGGAGAACGCTCTACAAATTCTGAAAAACGGCTCATTTTACTATAATCTCTCGAGATTATAGTAAAAGATCAGTTTACTAAGCAGAGGCAAACTATCTCTGCTTAGTTTTCGGTCCCTCTGATTCTCCAGCTCTGGGCTGGAGAATCTGGAGGGAGAACACAGATCTCCAGAGAAGGGCTGACATGATCTCCTGAGTGTTATAAACTGTGAATGACCAGAGAATAGCTGAGATCTGTTGAATCGCAGCTATTCTCTGTGTCATAAAAGGACACCTTAATTCAAAACAAATTCATGTCAGAATGATAAAATATAAAATATCTAACATTTTGCTTGTTTCCATTTAGAACATACAATGGTCTAGCTAGAAAAAAAAATCCAGCATTTGATAAATTTGCACAAATGCTGAATTGCTGAAAGATACATATGTTTTAATGCTGACATACTGGAGCAAAAATATCCACAATATGTCATACATATTTAAGAAAAGCACAAATTTGAAAGGGATGGTGATATTGGCGGTGATATTCTGTGATTATGCCGACTAAAGTGTGTTGTAATCTGAATAATAATTTTTTATGTTGATCTGATTTTATTTATTTATTTATTTATAACATTGGTAAAAGTGGGTTCAGGCCTCTTTTTGTCTGTTAGTTCCACTAGAAAGGCGGTAACAGTAAAGATCTTCCAGTCAGTTGAGCTGCATGTGACCCTCAAAAAGAGAACAAACAAGCATAAAGGGATCAGATGGACACACAGCATGCATTAAAATGTTATATCAATAACATCAAAGGAATATATTCTATCTCTATTTCTGCCTGCCAGACTCCATGATGCTATACTCTTTTAATCGGTCGATATAGAATATGAGCATACCTTATACTTGTTGAAATATGCTGCATGATATTCTGTTTGTATTATATGTATATTTACTTGTTGAACTTTTGATTAAGTATTTAGCTTGATCAAGATACTCTCTTTGTCCTGATGAAGCAACCCTATTGAGAAACGCGTTGACATCTGGATTTGAGGAGCTGCTTATACAATACACGTCATATGTTTGTATATATACATATATAGTAGTTCAGGCTATTGAGCTTATCAATCCAGTTGTGGGTATTTCGCATGTTCTTTTTAAATTAGACAGAGTTTGGATCCCTGAAGTTTGTCCTATTAATATGTAATGTGATATTGTAATGACTTTGTAATAAACTCATTGATTTGTATTATTGTGGTCTCATGGTGTGCCAATAGTCCGGTCATACATATTGGAGGTCAGCAGGGTGATTGTCATTTCCCCTGCCTGGTGTCAGGGATCCCGGGTCCTCGGCGGTGCGCGCATGCGCAGACGGCCGATCCGTCCCAGCCGCGAGCACAGAGTCCTCGGCGATCACGGCGGCGGCCGTGCATGCGCAGTAGCGATCGTGGCCGCACCAATGGGAGAACAGGGCGCTCTATTTAAAGCTGCCCTGTGCATCTCCAGGTTGCAGCAAGGTCTTGTTCCTGATGATCCTGTAAGTACGCTTCCTTGTTGCCAAACTCTGCCTGTTCTGACTTATGCTGACCCTCTCCTGCTCTGACCCCGGCTCGTCCCTGACCATCCTTCTGCCTGACCCTCAGTACCGCGCTGCCCGCTACCTGCTGAACCTGGCTTGTGACCCCGACCATTCTCCGCTTACTCCCCCTGTACCACGCTGCCCGCACGATACCGACACGGCTAGTCTGACCTCGCTCACTCCTAGCGTGTCACCCATCCATCCCGCTCGGATCAGGATCTGTCATCCGTCCATCCCGCTCGGATTGGGATCTGTCATCCCATTCATCCGCTCGGATCGGACCTGTCATCCCCTTCACAGCAGGCTCATCCCGGGCACATACCCTCAGTGGGACCCCTCTGCCACCGCCGGGGGTGCCCAGGGGCGCGACCTGGTTCCAGTCTTGCACCAAGTCCATCCCCACCATCAGGGGCCCTGGTGAAAAGGCAGACTGGGACTTAGACTCCGCGTCCTGGGAAACCCCGTGCTGTGGACCACTAGAGATCCCGTTGGGCAGAGCCTGACAGTTGGCCTCGTTTGTTCTTCGTTAGGGTAAGTACAGCAATGAACTTGTGTGATCAACCTTCCTCAGGATTCCAAAAGACATCTATCATAAATCTATAGCTAACATTTTTTTTCTTCTTCACTCACCTACCACTGGCCACACTATGGGGATATAGACTATAGAACAAACCAAAAACTCATTTGCCTACCTGGTGATATTCAGTGTATTTCAGTTTGAATTTTTGCAGTTCAGGTTGGTCTTTCTAAGTGACTTGTGACAGTTTGAGGTTGTCAGGGCTCCAGGTATGACCAGAGGTATGTGGACTGACACAGGGAAACGCAGGCTTCAGGTATAGTATAAACAATACAATTTATTCAAGACTAAACAATACATAAACGCAGTGCAAGACAAAACATAAACACGTTGCAAACAAACCAAACCTCCAACAGATAACAAAAAGAACAACACTACACGTAGTCGGGCAGGCCGGGTCGGTAGCAAACGGGCAGGCAAGGTACAAGGAGCAGGCGGAAGAGTAGTCAGGAATAGCCGAGGTCAGTACAGGCAGAGTTCATGCAGAGTCAGGATTCAAGCAGGCAGGATCAGGATACAGGGGCCAAGGGAAACTATACACCAAGGCACTGACTGCAGGCCTGGCCACTCCTTAAATACACCTCCTGCAATCAGCCTCAGGTGATGACTTGATTGCAGGAGTGAGCTTCTGGCTGCTGAGAGCACCCGCTGGCCAGCCCTGGTACTGCAGCCCACACGGCAGGTGAGTCCCACCACCAGTGGTGAGTCCATTCCTGACAGAGGTCCTGCCACTGTGAAAATGGATGTAGGAGTGATATAGAGTTTGCACTAATGCCGAGTGCTGGGCTCTGGAGTATTTATTATGAGCAGAGAAAATGGTTTTACAGGATTCTTGGGTTTTTTAATCCCAGATCGGGGTCTGAAACTTCAACGCATCTTGGGAGGAACAAAGCCTTCAATTTGGTGTCCAGGTCTTACTGGAGACCTTCATGTTGTCTACAGGTGCATACACTCATTATAAGCAGGGCTTTGGTAAAGCTCAGAGATCTAGCCAGGAGGGACGTTTACTCCGATTTAAAGACAGTTGTACGGTACAGGAGATGCCCACAGACTGTGGACATGGTACACGAGGTGACCAGAGACTGCGGGACACGGTACAGGAGGTGACTAGAGACTGCAGACACAGTGCAGGAGATGACCAGAGACTGTGGACACGGTACAGGAGATGACCAGAGACTGCGGACATGGTACAGGAGGTGACTAGAGACTGCGGACACAGTGCAGGAGATGACCAGAGACTGTGGACACGGTACAGGAGATGACCAGAGACTGCGGACGTAGTACAGGAGATGACCAGAGACTGCGGACGTAGTACAGGAGATGACCAGAGACTGCGGACGTGGTACAGGAGATGACCAGAGACTGCGGACAGTACAGGAGATGACATGCGGACATGGTACAGGAGATGACCAGAGACTGCGGACACAGTACAGGAGATGACCAGAGACTGCGGACATAGTACAGGAGATGACCAGAGACTGCGGACACGGTACAGGAGATGAACAGAGTCTGTGCATCTTATGGAGCGAAAAATATGGTATATTGTTGTCCGCATAGTTTTCTTTTCACTTCCTTTTCTTATACTTTTTCGGTCTATATAACAGCCACAGGATGAATATTATTATTTTCTATATTTTATATACTTAAACACTTACCTCACAGAGTAATGATAATTCATATTTTTCACAGATACTGTATAACTCGTATCTCCTTTGGGTGTTATTATGGATCATTTTATGGACTTGCACCTCACCAATTTTTGGTTTGCCTTCCACCAGTCCCTTTTGAACTTTGCGGGTCCTACTGCTACAGTTCCTGGGACAGAAGAAGATAAGTAGGTCTTCTGCCCTGCCAGAAAGGTATGCGTGGTGTGGCAGAGCTGAGTAAATATCAGGACTGGATGGGCATAAATACAAATGCTTTGGCAGGGAAGACATATCCCATATATTGTGTTTATTTCGATTGTGTATTTAGCTGTTTACTTGAAGTTCAGCTTTAAAGATTTTTGCCAAGCCTAATGTAAAAATGACAATCCAAATTCCTTTTTCTAGAGACCTTACCTTAGCAATCCTAGCTGCTCTTCTTATATCTGCAACTTGTAAAAAAAATCAATTCTGACAACACATTGGCTTTTAATATGATTTTTTTTAAAAAGTTGAGTTGTCATTTCAGAACATTTTAACAGTTAATACATATCAGAAATGAAACATGTTAAATAAACATACAGTAAAAAGAAACATCTGCTTTGTGGTTTACAGGGATTATTTCTGACAAGAGACATGATATTTGATGCTTGAAGAATCAGATCTGACAGACAAGATGATGGACAAATCCATGGGCTGACAAACAAAATTCTAGAAAGCACAAGCCCTTTTTTTAGTGTCATGTTGTCAGAATTATGGTTGATGTCCACTGATCTCAGAGGTTAGTCATATGGGCTTAATTAGTAATGACCAAAATGGGTTGTTTGTGGGGACACATTCAGACAACAAGCTTCATTACCAAACATTGCTTACAAGTGATTTCAGATAGTCGAAAACTGCACCCATTGATTTCCAGAATGATACCTAAATCATTTCAACTCATCACAGTTTTCTCACTCAATCGCATGATACATGTATATTCATGAAAGGGCAGTTTAGCCAATCCCTATCATTCGTGGTCATTAGAAAATTGAATGGTTAAAGTGGAACAGACAGATTTTTTACTGCAGAAGAAATATACTATTTATCTTCTTCACCTGCCTGACCAGGGATGGCTCCAGACAATTTTTTTGGGGTGGGTGCTATGCTGGTGCTTGAAGTATAAGTGGGGGTGCTAATGTGGCGCACAAAGCCCACCGCCTACCGTGTACCTGTGGGCGTGACCAAAAAAGTAGGAGTGGCCAGCAAGTGGATATTTCTTCATGGTCTATGAATGTAGTATAACACTTTTCCCCCTTTGTATATACCAAATAAGACCTGGGGGTGAATTGAGGATTAAAATAAGCCCAGCTGGCATCAGAAATGATCCCCCCCGCTCAGCTTGTGTCAAATTCAGCAATAACCCCAGCACAGCAAAATAATTAACTCCCAGCACTTCACAATAATTAACTACAGTATGACACAGAAATTAACCCCTAGCACAGCACAGTAATTAACCAGGGTTCAATACTTAACACTCAGCATGACACAGTAATTAAACCCCACCACCCCATTGTTAACCCTCAACTTTGCACAACAATTAGCCCCCAAAATAACACAATAATTAGCCCCCAGCACTGCATGATAAATAACCCACAGCACCTCACAATAATTATCCCCCAGCATGGCACAGTAATAAATCCCAGCACAACACAATAATAATTACAGAGCACAGCACAGTAATTAACCTCCAATACCACTCATTATTTAACCCCCAACATTGCACAATACTAAACCCCCAACAATGAACAATAATAAACCCCCAGCAGTATAGCAATCAGTTGGCCCATCCTCAGTATATCAATAAAAAGCAGAAACATGCAGCGCAACCCTACACTTCCTCTATAAATTGTACAAATGGACTTATAAGTGCAACAGTATATATGAATATCCAGTGCAAATCATCCAATGCGTTGCAATATAGTAATGATGATGTCACCCTCTCTGAAAAAAATATACAATACTGCAATGTACAAATATACTGCAATGTACAAACAATGGTGAACCCCCATGTACATAAATAAAATCAGAGGTGCAAACCAACCAGTGTATTAGAACATAGTAGTGATGGTGTCACCCTCTCTGCAAAAGTTAAGAAAAATATTGCAGAGCTGCAATGTGCAAATAGTGGTGAAACCCCCTATTTAACATAATAATATATGCACAATATATACATAAATTTTACATTTATTATGAATATATATAGGGGGTTTCACCACTATTTGCACATTGAAGCTCCACAATATTTCTTAACTTTTGCAGAGAGGGTGACACCATCACTACTATGTTCTAATACACTGATTGATTTGAACCTCTTTTATTATTATTGTATGTAGGGGGTTTCACCCTTGTTTGCACATTGCAAACAACCTCCATTATCCCACACTATGGAAACAAGCAGGTTCTCTCCATTCTCGCAGAAGCTGTATTCCTCTCTCTAGACCCAGTAGGGGGAAACAAACTCTCTGTATATCACCGCAGCCAGAAAAAAAGAGTCCCCAATTTTCTTGCATTAGTAGAGGATTTGAGGGTACAGATAAAATAATAAAAAAAATACACTGACACATACAGGAACTGGCATGGGAATTTTGAGGGTGCTTAAATAATTTTTGGGGGTGCTTCACCGAGCTCCTACCTGGTGCTGCCCCTGTGCCTGACTGCACTATACACTGATCTGTGCAATTTCTGATTGATGTCATCTCAGCCATGCCAATCAAAATGGCCAAAAATCAAAACCCAGGGGAGAACCAACTGAAAATGGCAGCAGCTGGTGAGGGAGCTCAGGGATGCCGCAGTGCAGGAATGGTGGCGAGTATAGTTCCACTTTAACCACTTGCCCTCTGGAAGATTTACCCCCCCCCCCCCATTCCTGACCAGGCCATTTTTTGCTATTCAGCACTGCGCTATTTCAACTGGTAATTACCAGCCATGCAACTCAAACAAAATTTACGCCCTTTTTTTTCACACAATTAGAGCTTTTTTTGGTGGCATTTGATCACCTAAAAGGCCTTGTATGGTTTGTATGGGGAACCCCATGCACTTCTCCCCCCATATTTGGGAGGCTGGGTTCCCCTTAAAAGTCCTACCAGGCCCTTTAGGCCTAGTATGGCTTTTAGGGGGAACCCCACGCAATTTAAAAAAAAATATTTACTGTGGGGTCCCTCCTTAACTTTCTACTAGACCTAAAGGGCCTGGTAAGGATTGGGGGGGGGGGGGGGTGGTATGCTGTTTTTTTAATGTATTTTTTGTTTTATTTCTATTTTTTAATAAATATACATATATTGTATTTAGTTATTATTATTATTTATTTATTTTTTGGGGGGAGAGTATTCTCCCCTCTGTCTCAGTGTGGGATGGGGACTGTGCACTGTGAGGTCACTATGGGGTGTATGGCGGGCGAACAGTTGGTGGTGCCTTCACACCGTTACCCTTCAGAGTTATTCTTAGCGAGTGCAGGACTGGACCCTACTCTAAAAATTTTAATTATATGCACCTGTCACACAGTGTGTTGAAAAAATGGGCATTTGCTGTTGGTGGTTCTGCACTCTAACCCCTTACAATTACTCTTGATGAGCACAGGAATTGGCACTGCTCTAAAAAACTGAAATTTTATGCACTATGCCTATACACTGTATCCCCTAACAGTTACTATTTGCTGGGCGCAGGAACAGGCCCTGCTGTTACAAAATTGTTAAAAATTAGAAAACAAATAGTAACGAATTGAAATTAGATGAACTTGTCAGACAGGTGCAGAAAAATTTGGCCTTGGGTGCTTTGGTGGTGCCCTAAACCAAAAACATTGTAGAAGCTAGCATAATCAGGATTCAGGAATAAGATAGGCAGCATAGGCAGTCTTCAAGGGATCCCAGATCCCTAAAAAATGTAATCAGTTACATCAGCATCAGGGGCTTGATAGCTGCTGTTTTAATCTGCAGTTGACTGATTCATTTTAATAAATGTCAGACCAGTCAATGGAGTCTGTGGACAGACGTACTCTTTTATCCATCACAAAACCTCTAGCAGCACTGAAACGTACTTAGGGAAAGCATGCTGGATGCAGGACAGGCCAGTAGCTCAATTGCATATTGAGCAAGTTCTGGCCAGTGATACATCCTCAAGACCCAATGGATCCTCAGTTGGAAAGGTTCCTAAGTCTGCTCTTGTCCCTAGATAATCCTACACCATATGATGCAGACGCTGCAGATGGGTGCTTAAACCTAACAGCCCTGGGCTCTCAGGACTAAAGAATTGTTTAAAGGTATCGGTCAGCCGGGCACCTTCTCCATCGCTCTTCCTTTGACTGAAAGAAGCCTCAAAAACAGGTAATGGTAACCTCCCAATGTCTGGAAAGGTGTTATACAAATTTTTCAACAAGGCGTCCTGAAGATGTTCCATCCTCAGCTCCTTCATCGAAGGCAGGATGAGCTCTGCAACTTTACCCCTTAGACGTGGATTAATAATGGTTGTCAACCAGTAATATCCTCTTCTCCACGATACCATGAATCCTCTGGTCCTTTCACAGGCTTTGCAGAATCAGGGAGCCCATGCAGCATAAGTTTGAGGAGGTATGAGATTCTGAGTTCTCTGGCTCACTGAGGATGACACTGTCAGGGAGTACCTCCTTCCAGCCACGTACTACTCCTGGTTGGGTTTCGAGGGACAAAAATCCATCCCTTGAAGACTGCCATATGCTATCCTCTACTTCCATGTTACCACAATCCTCCTCTTCCTCCTGTCTGTTCTGTGACCCCACAGGAATAGTATCTGCATAAAGGGGGTCCCCGCTGTTCTGCCTCGAGTGCCC